CACCCTCTTCCCACTCACCTGGGGACTCTGCAGGACGAGCTGGCTCTCTCCCACCCTCAGTGCTAGGGTGTGGGGGCCCATTAGCTGGCAGGCGGCCACGTGGCCATAGCTGACACTGTGGATGGGCTCTGTCTCACCCGGCCGGGAGAAGGACATGGCCTTGGCTCCCAAGCCCAGGCATAGCTTCTGTGGAGTGCCCCCACCAGGCTCCTAGGGACAGATGGGTAGAGTCAGGGTGGACGTAGGGGACCCTGCAGCATTATTTTTGGTGTGGGGAGACAGCTGTGAGCAGGAGTGTCCTGGTCCCCTCTGTGATTCACACGGCATGTGTGGAAGGGCTGACGCCTCTGGAGAGGGGAGACCCCAAGGGCCAGTGACTCCTGGGGTTTGAGAGGGTCAGCTGTGCTGGGTGTGGGGAGTGAGATGACCCACAGTGGGGCCTGTGGCTCTGGGGCAGAGGTGTAGGGCTTGGGCCGCCAGAGTCCCCTCTCCCTTCTCCCCCTCACCGTGCTCAGCTCCAGAACGTCATACCGAGCAGCGCCGAACCCTGGACACTGCGCCGCCAGGGCCAGGTAGGCAGCCATGGCCTCAGCTCGGCCCATGCCCCGTAGCCGCTTCCAGCTGCCCAGCACAGCAGCCGCCGTGCCCGCGCCACCTCCTCCCTCGCGGGCCGCGCTTCCCGCCGGGCCGCCTGCCCCGCCGCCGCGCCGGGTCCGCTCCGCCCGCCTCTTGGCCAGGCCCGGGCTCCAGATCGCCCCGGCCAGCAGGGCGGCGGAGGGGGGAGGCCGGGGGACGGGGCGGGGAGGGTCGTCCCGCGGCGGGGCAGAGGGCGGCAGCAGGCGATCCAGGCGCGGCAGGGGCGCCCTCGGGGAGAAGTCTCGGTGCAGGCTCTGCAGACGCAGCGCCGCCAGGGCGCGCAGCGTGTCGTCGGGCGGGGGCGGCCGGCCGCGCAGTAGCAGAGCGTGAGCCTAGGAGGAGGCACGGGGTGTCAGCGCGGGAGTGGCGGCGAGCACACCAGGGGGTGCAAAGTCTGACGTCTGGGTTCGAGTAAAGCCTCCCGCGAGGTTGCCATAACGGTTAAATGTGACGGCCCGGAAAGCGAGGGGTCCAGGCTGGGGGGGGGG